GGTTAAAAATGAAAGTTTTCCAAATATTTTAAGTGTGAGTAAAATATTATCTGCTTTGAGTGCTCTTTGGGGGATCAAATGAGTTAATACATGTAAAGTGCCTGCCCCCCCTCCCCCCCAGTAAGCATTCATTAAACATGCTATGAGCATTTGTCGGGGGAGACCAATGATAAACATAAGACAAAATGTATCTTGGTTCCTCCTCCAATCTCATAGCTTTCCCATGGTAGTATTCATGTTCCTTGATCACCTTTGTGTCCACCACATAGCTTCCGAGGAGGGACTGCTCCCCTCTAAAGCTCTGACCTGCCCTAATCAGTTTGACTCAGTGGATAGAACATCGGCCTGTGGACTCAAGGGTCCCGGGTTTGATTCCAGTCAAGGGCATATACCTTGGTTGCTGGCACATACCCAGTAGGGAGTGTGCAGGAAGCAGCTGATCAATGTTTCTCTCTCATCGATGTTTCTAACTCTCTATCCTTCTCCCTTCCTCTCTGTAAAAAAAAATCAATAAATTATATTTTTAAAAAATAAAGCTCTGATCCAACCGTGGAGGCAAATCATATCTTGAGGCCACAGAAGAAGGGATTTCTGCATTAAACCTTTTTTTCTGAATTAAATCTTAGTAAGAGGCTATTTCTTTATCACACCAAACCACAAAGTTTTAGGGCACAAAGACAAGCCTTTTGGGGCAGCCTACACATATTTGGCAGCACCTCCTCTTTCCTTCAGTTGGATAACTAGATTTTCCTTGTCTTTAGGTTGCACTTTCCTAAGGAAGGTTCTGGAAGAAGGTGTTTCTAGAACTTGGGCAAATTCAAGAGGGCAGCAGGTCCTGGCATTGGCTTCAGGCTTCTAGGCCTCTTGTATCCTAAGCAGGGGTCTCTTTGCTTTCACAGAAAAGGGCATATTATGAAGCCTATGAACCTGTGAGGAGGTACAAGGTAAAGCAATAAGCCCCAGGACCATCTCCTTGGATAACTTGAGAGGGTCCTTGCTCGCTCTCAAAGATACCTCCAACCCCTGGTCCAGCCTCCTAGAAGGGTAGAGTCAAACCCCTGCATGGCCCAAAAGACCATTGGTGATGGGAGTACAGTCCTGAAGCCCCTGCCATTATTGCCTCCCTCTTCCCAAAGACGCTGCCCCCCATCAAGAAACAGCAGTCTTTCGACCCACCCACCAGCTGGAATCTTAGGATCCCAAAGGAGGAGACATCCTGGCCATGTCCCCAGCCACCCTCGCCAGGCATGCTCTACTTGGGCCTCACTGCCCGCGCCCATGCCATCGACTACTTCCTGGACAACTTCTTCTCTGACTTTCCCCGACACTTCTTGTACCGGTGAACTCTCAGGGAGTGAGGGGTCTCCTTCCTCTACTTTCTACCCCCCTCCCTCTCCAGAACAGGGGCTGCCCAGACCCAACCCTTACTGAGGGCTGGAACAGGTGCAGTGGCAGGGGTGGGGGATATTGGGGCTAATATGGCATTGTTGGGCCCAAGATGCCCCCAATACTGCTAAAGCCAATATGCAGAGGAGGCAAAGAGCGAGCCAGAGGCCTCCAGGGAACCCACCTAGGCTTCCCCATTCCTCCTTCCTCCCTTTCCAACTTGGAGCCTCTCCAGGTCTTACATCAACTCTGAGGGTCGGGTTTAGTTCCCCAAATGCAGTAGCACTATGTCCTCTTGACTGGGAGGCCACCACCACTGCTTGTGCCCCCAGTCCCTGCATGGTGGCTTGTCCAGGCCACTCAATGTCATGGCTCACCCCAGGATGCTGCCAAAGAGGACGTGCATCAGGGAGGAGTCAGAGGCTTCTGAGAAAGAATCCACTGACACGTGGGCCCCTGTCTCCAAGCAGAAGAAGCAGCTTTTGGTTGACTGTCTCACCACCATCATCAGGTGACTGTCCACCCCGTGGACCCTAACCCTCATTTCTCCAGCCCAATCAGTCAATTCTGAGTCCACTCACAGCCGCTGAAGTCCTAGCCCTTCCTTTCCTGAAAAATAAAATTTCCTCACAAGATCCTTCCATTGGTGGCCCCAGGCTCTCTAGGATGGTACAGCTCCAATAGAGCTGGCTGGAGGGATCATCAAGGCTGGGTCCCAAGTTCTGCCCTGTCCACGGCTGGTAGATGATGTCTAGAGCCAGTTCACATTCTCCTCAGGGTTCCTGTCCCTCATGTGTGTAACTCAGACTTCCTGGCTCTGTCTCTACCATATAATGTTCACCTCTAAGGCTCCATGGGGTCCAGAGATACCTTCCTCTAAAGAAGGATGGGGGTAGGAGCAATGGACCAAGGGCTTCCCTCCCCCACTTAGCTCCTATTTGTGGACACAGTAGGCGAGAACCACTACTTGGGGAACACTGAAACCAAAGCCTCACAGGGGGCCACAAGGCCTCTCAGTGAGAACCTTCTCTTCCTCCCTGCCACGCAGGGGCCTGCTGGAAGATAAGACCTTCCATGAAGCCATGGACCAAAGCCTAGTGGAGCAGATTCCTTACTTTTGCCAGTTCTGGAGTGAGCAGTCAGCCAGGTTCATGGCCCAGTCCAGCAGCCTGCACGTAGGACCAGGCCTGTTTCTGTCCTCCAACAGCTTGGAGGACAAGGAAGGCAAGGAGCAGGAGGAGGACAAATGGGAGCTGGGGGAGGAAGATGGGGAAGAGGAGGAGAAGGAAGAAGAGGAAGAGGAAGAGGAAGAGGAGGAAGAGGAAGAGGAAGAAAAGGAAGAAGAAGAGGAGAAAGAGAAGAAAGAGGAGGAAGAGAGCAGCAAGGAGGAGCCTGAGGAGGATGAAGAGATGATGAAGGAGAAGGAAGAGAAGTCGACCTGGACAGGGACTGAAACCACACAGCAGCCTTCGTCCCAGGAGTCCCTGAAATGGTGGTGGCAGCAGCAGCTGAAGATCATAATGAAGGAGGAGCGAGAGCAGGATGAGAAGGTGGCCATCAGCAGGTGAGCAGCCAGACCCAGGTGAGGGTTTGGAGGAGGGCTGTGTGCAGAAGGATCCTTCCTGCAAGACAGTGGTATACTGGGGTGGCCTCCTGTGCCCGTGTCTTCCAACTCAGTGTTCAACGGTTGGAAGGGTAAGGCCTGGGTGGGAGTATTTGCAGAATGGCTTTAATTTTTTCTCCAAGACCTGCCTATGAACATTCACCATCATACCACTTCAAGGAGAGTAGTTATAGTCTTCAAGATCTCTTAAACGGGTTTCTAGAACCAGGAGAGAAGTTCCACCTCCTCTTGTACCACTTTCCCTGGGACTGCTCCGCGGTTGCTTTCTTTTGGGGTTGGGATTCCCTAGGCCCCATGTAGTCCCTTCTGTACATTCTCATTGTTGGATGCCTTTCCCCAAACGTGGCCAAGAGATGTGGACTACAATTGCCTGGGTTCGAATCACACTACTCTGCCAGCAACATAACATTTGACAACTTGGGCTCTTTAAGTGTCGGTAAACTTGGAACGAGGATGCCGCCTAGTGTTGGGAGGGTGGGGAGGTCAATGAGAATCCAGGTAGCGCACGTGGCACACGGTACAGCACCGAGGAGGCCAGCAGAGAATGTGATTGTGGTGGGTGACAGCGCTGACACCTACTCTCTGGTCCCCCGCAGGCTCCGGGCTTTCGCCAACCTGCAGGAGGCGCTGCTGGAGAACATAATCCAGAACATCCTAGTGGAGGCGAGCAGAGGGGAGGTGGTGCTCACCTCGCGGCCGCGCGTCATCGCTCTGCCGCCGCTCGGCAGGTGGGGGCACCCCGGCCAGCGCCGCGTGGACGGCAACGGAGGGGTGTGAGGGGTGGTAGGGACGGGCAGGTTTGGTCCCAAATCTCGCCCTCACCCCTACCTGGGGCTTTCTGTCTTCCAGGATTCCGACTCTAGACCTGCTGCAGGGGGCGCCCCAAACAGCCGTGCCTCGGCCAGTGCCGCCGCTCCCTGCCGACACTCTGCGGGCGCCAGCGCCCAGCCCCTTCGATTTGCTTCGATAGGTCCTAACCGGTCCCCTCTCCACCGCCCCACCAGTAAAGCATCTAGCTTTTTAATTTTTATTTGTTCCTTTCTATATCTGTTTTTATTTCCCCAACGCGGGAGCAACTCGCACTGGGTTTGCTACGAAACAGATGGTGGGAGCGGCTGTGGAGTGCCGCAACTCATCGGAGACCCAGGGGCTGGCTGGGAGATTGCCTGCTCCACTCCACACCGAGGCTCGACGAGGGTTCCCGCGGCTGACTGCCCGGCGCTGGATCTGGTCAGACCAGGGGAGGGCGTTTTGGTTGGGGCCCGACTGGCCTTAAACCCCGTGTAGCCCGGTGGACAGAAACTGAGCGCCAGGCCTGGTCAGTGCAGCAGGTGGCCTCGGGTCGAGGTGACCTCTCCGAGGCCTGGCCACTCCGCCCTTAGCCTTTTTTTCAGCAGCTGCGGGGCTCCTGGGGCTCTGCTAATAGACTGGAAAAAAAGGGAAACCGAAGCGCTTCGAGGAGGACCAAGTTACTAGACACTGGGGCGCCGGTGTATGTCTCTATTAGACAGAGGGCCACAGTCTCTACCAGCGACTCGCGTCATAACCCTGAGTCCCCTGACCAGGGGTGTCCCGCCTTCCCTGAGATACCCACCTCCGCTCCCCCTAACCTCCGCCAGGCAGCCTGTGTCCTTTGCTCTTCTGCTCTTCGGCTCCTCCCATCCTCTCTCCCCACCCCCCGCTAGAGGCAAGTGGGTGGAAAAGTGACATCTGGTGTTGTTCCAGAGGCGCCCAGTGCCGCCAAGGCCTGGAGGAGCTCTGGCCCTGGAGCCCAGCCGGGGCGGGGAGGGGGTTGGGGCGCTCCGCCTCCTCTGAGTCAATATTTGCCCCGAGCAAACGAGGCCCGGACAGGTGTGAGTGTGCGTGTGTGTATGTGTGTCTAGGGGCGGGGACTGAAGAGGCCGTATAAGAGGGCGCTGAGCCCGGGCTTTGGCACAAGCTCCGAGGTGTGCGCTGGGGACTTAGCCAAACGGGCCCGAGAGGGTGGAGAATGGCCAGGAAGGGAGGGGCAGGCCAGGTGCGCACCTGCGGGGGCCTCCCTGGCCGCCGACGTGTCAGCCGCAGATGCGCGCAGGCGAGGCGGCGGCTGGCGGAGTGCAGTGCGGCACTGCGCTCGCTCGAGGAAGACCAGGACCGGATCACCAAGGGCCACAGCCAGGCCCCGGGCCCTCCGCTCCCGCCCCGCGACGAGCCCCTCGCACAAACCGGACCTGAGCGTTTTGTTCGTTCGGCTCGCGTGAGGCAGGGGCGGCCTGTCAGCATTCGCCCGGAGGCCCAGCCCCATCGCCACGCAGGCACCTGCCGCGCCGCTGCCACACGGGTCGGAGAGGCTGTGCGCCGCTCCCAGGCGAGATCCGGCTCCCATCCGGCCCCACCCGCTTTGCCTTGTCCTGCCCTGGCCCGAAACCCCTAGAATGCCGGGCTCTATTGGGGTAACCAGGCCACAGGGCAGGCTCCACCGGATGGCACAGAGGGCTGTGACCCAGAACAGGAACATTTTGGAGGTAGAAACCCAGTTTCTGGTCCGACTCTGTCCCAGCGACTTCTGTGGCCTTGGGCAAGTCATTCTCGGCCTCTCCTGGGGCTTTCACATTTGCAAAATGAGGACGATGGTCTGGCCTCCCGTGAGTCTTCATATCCTGGTTCCTGGGAAAGTTGGAGGCCCACAAAGGGATTGAAGCAGTAGTGGTGAGATGTGAAGCCGGATGGGGTGGGCTAGAACCATGCTGGAGATCAAGTCTCTCCTCCAGATCCCTATGGTACTGCCAGCTCGAAGGTTCACTCACTGCCATCTCTCTGGCCCCTCTTTCAGTCTTCCCATGTCCGGGGTCCCAAGGCACAGCAGCTCACTACCTTCCCCAAACTTAATAGCTCCACAACCTCTTGTTTCAGGATGGGGGTGGGGTCTGTGTGGGCCCCAGCATAGCTGAGAATCCATGAGTCATTAGCTATAATCCAAACCTGGGACAGACCATCTCCCTTTCCAGGGACTCAAAGTGCTAAGATCTGACATAGAGGAGGGGAACAGAGATTGCTCAAGACCCTGGCCTCCTGCTAAGAGACCTTAGAACTGAGGGTTTCACACAAGGCCTTTGGTCAGTCTGAGCCCCTAGCTGAGTCTGTCCTTGACTCCAGGTGTCCTCCGTTCCCCTTTCCAAAATTGATGGTGATGCTGAGCCAGCCCTGGATGGAGGGACTAGTTGTAGATTGGAAGTGGAAGTAAGGCTCCTTGGACAGCAATATGGAGCCCTAGTTCCCCTTAGGGTGAGGAAGCTCATGGGGAGGGAATGTATCACCACACACCCAGGCCTAGGCAGCCTACAGGGATATGAGAACAAGGATCAGGAGTCACTGTCCCTTTCAGCTCTAATCTGGCTGTTGCTGGAGGTGCTTGCTGGCTTGTCCCCCTCTCTCACCCTCCCCCCACTCCACTGCCACACTTCACACGACCACCCTCAGGCCCCATGGGGATCTGCTGTGTCCTTGTTGCAGAGAAAGAAAGAAGGAGTGGGGATGAGATGGCTCTGACAGATCCCAGGCAGGTCTGGGGAGAGGGGCGAATTACAGATGGGATCTGTGGGCACAGCAGCCGTGGATGGGAAGGAGGGATGCATGGGTCCCAGGCTGGGGTGTGTGCGGTCCCCATTCTGGCCTCACTGACCAGGCTTCTGTCCTGGGCTTAGCCCTCTGCTCCTTGCCTGGCACTGAATGATGTGCCTCTTAGGGATTAGGCCTGGCGCTGGCAAGTCCTCCCTGTGTCTTGGAGGGCTTCCTCTCCCCTCCCCCAATCACAGAGGGGGGCTAGAGCTCCTCCCCTCTGGCTGGGACTCTAGATCCTGGGGCTGCACAACAAAGGTCTCCCTAATGATCCCTAAGACACACATAGAGCAGTCCTTTGGGGAGGGGGGGGGCGGTGTTGAGAAAATGAGGCTACCAGTGGTCTGGGACATGCCCTTATTCCTCTTCCCCCCAGAGCCTAATTTCCCTGGGCCTCCACCCCCCACCCATCATGAAGACCTGCATATCCTGGCCCTGGCCAGGGATCTGTCCCCTCATCAAGGTCCCTCCTCCCCTGCCTGGCCAGGGGCGGAGTCTCTAGGCGCCAGGCAGGCCTGCAGGTGCCAGGCTGCCTATGTAAGGGGGGTGCTCAGCAGCTGGTGTTTGAAGGGGCCCATCCCCCCTCGCCTGTCCAGCTCCCAGCCAGAGCCTGCTTCCTGTCTTCCCTGTCAGCACCCTGGGCAGGGGAGGGAGCAGGAAAAGGGACTGAGCTTGGAGTTCAGGCAGTGGTGGGACTGGGAAACTGCTGACTGAAAATGACATTGGGAAGAAGGATGAGATGAGGGCCAAGAACACAGCCAGAAGACAGACGGACAGACAGAGGGTGCTGCCCAAAGGTGTGTGAGAACCATAGGGGAAATTTCAAGGCCCAAGAGACTGCAGACACCCCCCCACACACACACACACACACATACACCCACAATGAAAGCAAGAGCTAGAGAGAGACCTGAGAGAGAGGCAGAGACCACCTGAGAGAACCCAAAGAGGGACAGAGACAATGTGAGATAACAGAGATGTACACTTAAAGGAGATGGAGGGATTTAGAGATGGAGGGTCAGAGGTCAGGTAACCAGAGGTGGAAGGCACAGTATATGTAGAAGGAGGGGGAGGTGATGTGGAAACAGCATTCACCCCATCCCACATTGGTGAGGAGAGAGGCAGAGACCACCTGAGAGAACCCAAAGAGGGACAGAGACAATGTGAGATAACAGAGATGTACACTTAAAGGAGATGGAGGGATTTAGAGATGGAGGGTCAGAGGTCAGGTAACCAGAGGTGGAAGGCACAGTATATGTAGAAGGAGGGGGAGGTGATGTGGAAACAGCCTTCACCCCATCCCACATTGGTGAGGGGAAATTTCCTCCAGAAGAGGAGAAAGTGTGGTTTCTATGTGGGCTGCAAATGGGACAGCCAGGGCTGGAGGTGGGAGTGACACCCTCTTTTGGGGGACCAGTCTCTCCCCATTAAGAAGCAGAAGCCAAAGAGGGGCAAGACTCAGGCCATGAGTGGGGCATGATCTGACTCCATCTCTCCCCCTTTCTCTCTCGGCCACAGCTGGACAGAAAGACAGACAACTGTGGCAGCTGCCCTGCCTCCACTGTCCACCTGCTGATTCTGGCCCAGCCTTGGAGCCTCTGGGTGTGGAGGCTGCCCAGGGTCTATAAAGAGTGGGGGACCTGGGCTTGGAAGCAAGGGGGGGTTCATACCCAGGTACTAATCCCCATCAGGCCAAGGCAGAAGCGGAGGCTCAATGACCTTCTTAGAGATTAGTCCCCATGGTGACAGCAGGCAACTCGCCCCCTCACTCTGGCTAGGTCTGAGGGGGAGGGGGGAGGCTGGGTAGGAAGAGCGGGGAACCTTCCTGAGGCATCACCGGATCACAGAAATCATGGCTGGGAGGCCCCTCCGGGATCAGCAGTTAGCTTAGTTTACAGGTACAAAACTGAGGCCCCAAGAGGGGAAGTGCCCTGCTTAAGACCACATATAGAGCCAGAAAAGGTGTATGGACCAGAAGTCAGATCTCCAGTTTCACTCCCAAGCATTCTTTCCAGAATAGCAGAGGCCTGAACAAGAACAAAGGATTGGGATACTCCCCTCTGACCTTCCCAGTCCTCCCAAACAGGTCACAGCTGAGTGACTGGAATGGGGTGAGGCAGAAAGGCTCCTCATCCTGAGTGCTAGGCTGGCTTCCACAGGCAAGTGTGGGAAGGGGCATGCAGATCCCAGACTTATGCTTGCTGCCCTGGCTCCTCTCCTCTCCCCACCCCAGCCCCAGGGGGTGGGCAGAACCATGCAGCAAAGCCAGTTATAAACACAACAGGAACAGCTAACATGTATTGGGTGCATACAGCAGGCTGTGTTTTACATGGATTTAAATCTTCACAGCAGTTTTTAAGACTATTATTCCCATTTTACAGAGGGAAAAACTGAGAAATAGAGTACAAGTTCATCTAACTTATAAGCAGTGGAGCTTGGATTTGAACCCAGGCAGCAGTGTGACTCCAGAGCCCATCTTCAGTGTATGATGATGGGTGGGTGGCTGAGATGATCTTCTCTAGGTGACCATGAGTGGGATATGTGCATGTGAAGGTGCATACTCAGGTGTCGCTCCAACACTCAGCACAGTGCCTGGCACATAGTACATCTTACTAAATATTTGAGAAATGAGTGAGTAATGTCAGCCCATCAATGAGTGTGACTTTGAGGTGTTTATTAAATGCTGGGATGTTTACCTGTGGTGCATGTGGGACCCATCCATGTGCCTGTACTGTGTGAACGTGTGTATGCGTGCACACACTCCCTGTTGCCCTGTGCCAGCCGGTGCCTTTGTGTCTGGGTGAGTGGGTAGTGGTAAAAGCTGCCTTCCATCTCCCTGGATGGTGGCCAGCTCTCTATCCCTACTGAGGGGCTCTGTTTATAGCAGGATAAGACAATGGGTCTGTGTGGGTGGGGCTCCCACCCCCTCAAGACCCACCTCTTTGGGGCCCAGCTGTTGGACCCTGCTGGGGCTGAGCTGGTCTCTCACTGTTATCTCTGTCTCCCAGGAGACCAGGCCTCACAGCCCCAGGGAAAGTGCTCATCTGCCTGTTCCTGGCTCCAGACCTGGGCTGGGGGCAGGGAGTGGAGGAGCAGAGCTGCAAAGGAGGGGCTGGTGATGGTACAAGGGTGCAAGAGGGCACCATTCACAGAATTTGCATCTTCAGTCACCAAAGCCCTGGCTGATTTCCCAGTGAAATGAGGGGTAAGGGTGAGAGCAGGCTGATTTGATAGGACAAGGGCCACCAGGCACTTCTCAGCTGCCCAACAGTACTGAGAAGTTGGGCCTTTTATGGGATGGGGCTCTATATGAAGGAGACATCACTTCTCTGGGGATTCTCAGGGCCTTTAACTGGGATGGGGACCTGGGTGAGAGGCCAGGATTGGGTCTGAGGGTTTCTTTGTTGGCTCTACATGTCCCCATATAGGATGGGGGTATGAGTGGGATCTACAGGAAACAGAACTGGGTCTAAGGCTTTCTCTGTGAGATCTTAGGGTGCCTTATGAGATGGGTGTTTGGGTAGAATCATAAGTGGGGGAATGTCCTGAGGATTTCTCTGTGGAACTTTGGTCCCTATAAGAGATGAAGAGCCCTAACTGGTTTGGCTCAGTGGATAGAGCATCGGCCTGCTGACTGAATGGTCCTAGGTTCAATTCCGGTCAAGGGCATATACCTTGGTTGCAGGCACATCTCCAGTAGGGAGTGTGCAGGAGGCAGCTGATCGATGTTTCTCTCTCATCGATGTTTCTAACTCTCTATCCCCCTCCCTTCCTCTCTGTAAAAAAATCAATAAAATATATATTTAAAAAAAATGAACTGGATGGGTTCTCTGAGGCGATGAGACCTCTATGAGATCTTGAGGTCTCTTGAAAGTGTGGATGTGGGGACACTGTTTTTTGTTTGTTTGTTTTGTCTTCCTAACTCTCCCTCTCCACACCTAAAGGCCAAGGCTGTGGCTGTGGAGGAGGTAGCAATGAGGGTGCTGAGCTGGCAAACAAAGCCACCTGTGCATCCACCCTCAGGAAGCTCTGGGCAAAACTGATCTGGGAAAACAAACAGGACCAGCTGCTGGGGGGTTGGGAGAGGGGCTAGGAGGGGGTTGGATGAAGGGAGACTGGGGGACTGGAGCGGGACCAACCTAATGGACAAAGAAAGGAAGCTGGGAGGGGGTCCATAGTACAGGAAAGGGACAGAAACCCAGAGTCCCATTCTGGCACACCAGGCAGGGACCCCTGACAGCCCCTTTCTTGGTCCTTCCCCTCAGTGGTTCATTCTTTCCTTTCTCCCTCAACTTTGAGGTCCAGAGTCAGGGAGGGGACCCTGACTGGAGAGATCTTGAGAGAAGTCTAGAGGTGGTCTGGGCAACTAGCTATTGGCAGTGTTTGGTGGGTGTGCAGACAGCTAGAATGAAAAGCTGTGGACTGTAGGGTGGGGGCAGTGGTACCTATACACCATCTTCCTGATGAGGAAGCTGAGGTACAGGGGAGTGGAGAGGCTGGCTAGTGCCCCACAGCTTCATAGTGCAAGCCAAGATGGGAACTTAGGACTAGAAGAGGAGCAGTGGCCCTGCTCACCACACACACAGGGTCCCCACCCCAAATCTCAGCCGGACTCAATTCTAATTGGATCTCAGCTGTACTACTACCACCACTTCCCCCAAGCCTTTGAAACACACACACACACACACACACACACACACACACACCCTCCTGCGGAATACAGTCTTCTGATCTGACCAACACCTGGACTGGAAACAGCCCTCCCAGGTGGAGCCCCAACTTCAGGGGCATGCCCAGACCCTGGGCCCCAGATCCTGTAAACACAGTGTCCAGTCTGACAGACACCCCGCAGCCTCGGATCTAACACCCGGCCCGCGTCACCGACCGGCGAAGACGCACAGCCTGACGCACTCGCAATGGGCGCCCGCCACCCCTCCCAACCTCAACCTCCTACCAGCTGCCTCTTCCACCAGCCCAGCGGCCTCAGCGGCCTCAGCTTCCCTCCCAAAGCGGCCCGTCCGCGCCTCCTGGTGGCTGAATCCAGAATTCTACAATAGAGATAGGGAAGAAAGGCAGACGGGAGGGAAAGAGAAATTGGGTTCCTCACCTCGCACTGCTGCCATAGTCCCGATTTGGGAAGCCAAGGCAAAAGGCCAGGACACCGAGTCCAGGATTGGTTCTTGCCTCCCTTGATAGTTTGTATTTCTCCCTTATGGTTTTGGGGAAATTATGGTCTATTTGTGTCTCTCCAAACCTCCTCTAGGGCAGGGAGTCAGGGGACTGGGCATGGTTCTGACCCATCCCCAATCAAACCTGGCCATGGTGTCCCTGCTCTGACTTAAACCCTCCTAACTTGGACTTTATTCCCCATGTTGTAGGACGTTCACCTTCACATACACTGTGATCCTCAAGAGCAATTCCTTGCCAGTAAGAGAGAGACACAGGGGAGGGGAGACTTTGGCTGCCCTCAGCACCTATTCTTGGCACCCCAGAACTTCAGGGTGGGGAACTTGGTAGGATGGGCAAACCATTACTCCTGAACTCTCATTGTAGAATTTCCTCTACACCCCATCCCCATTGGACATTTGACCCAACCTGACCACCTTATTCACTCATTCAAGATTTACTCAGCGCCTACTTTGTGTCCAGCATGGTGCTAAGGTTTGAAAATAACAAAACTGACACAGCCTGCTTAAAAGGAGCTTACATTTGGTCTAAAAGAAGACACTCAGCACACCCATAAACACTCATAAACAAAAAATGAAAAAGACAAATTTACAGAGTGACAAATGATACAAAGAAAACAGGGTGATGTGATGGACAGTAAATGTCAGAAACAGGGTCACCCATGCCAAGAAAGTCAGCCATGCCAAGATCGTGTGACTAGGACACTTGAGGGAATGGGGAACAGCAAATGCAAGGGCACAGAGGTGGGAATGAATTCAGCTGTGTGGTTAGAAATCCTGCTGCAAGTTGTGAGGAAATGTCTTCCTTGGGGCCTCCCTTAGGGCCCCAAACCTTTCACCTCCTTTCCTAACCCCAGCTGGCCAGGGATTGGGGGCGAGGGCCTAGTTAAAACAGAAACCCAGGTTCACATCTCAGCTGGGACACCTCCTCCACCAGCTTTCGATGGACTTTCCTAAGCTGCCACTTCTTCTGTGAAGTGCAGGGCAAGGATATGGTGTGAGAATTAGCTGAGCAGAGTGCCTGGCCTGAACTAGGCAATCAGTGATCAGCTGCTGGCTCTCAAGTAGACTGGGGACCCCAGCCCAGTCCCTGGAGCTGTCAGGCGGCTGGTAACTACTCTAGCCACTTCCTTAGTTATTATTATTCTAGGTGCTTTGTAAATCCGAGCCCTCCCTTGGGCGGTTCAAATTTCCTGCGCTCAGCACTGCCTTGCGCCCCTCAGCTCAAGAAAATCCAGGAATACAGCGCGGATCTGGGAACTCAATTTGGGAGGAAAGAGGCTGCGATGGAGCCATCTTACAGGGAAGAGAAGACTGAGGGGTGTGAGGAAAGTCGCTTTCGGGGAGCCTGTCTATCTCTACCCTAGCGTCGCCCAGAAGAGAGGCCTCGACCTAGGGCTGAAGAAAAGATGGACTTTAGACATTGGGAAGAACTTTCGTGCCTCCAGTCGGAAATGCGCAGTTTCAGTGAGGCCTCTGGGTAGTCTGGTACCTCTAGTCCGGAGGGTCTGGGCCAGGGAGGGCGTGTTCTGCTCGAGGTCGCGTGCGTCTTGCCTGGCTCTGGCCCCCCAAAAAGAAAAGGCTGAGTCACCCTTGGTTGCAGGGAGCGCGGGACGTGTGCCTCAGCACTTTCTAGTGTAATCCCCGAGGACAGGGGCCAGATCCGCGGCTGCGGGAAAGGCCTCGGCTCCTCAGGGGACAGCAGAGCTGACCGCAGCCTGCCCGCTGACTCAGCTCCCCCCAGCCCAGCGGGAGAGGGCGTGCGGAGGAAGGCGAGGCCGAGTATAAAGCCCCCGCACGCACGCCTGGCCCCTGCGCAGCCTCTCCATTTCCGTCAGTACCACGCTCACCCGCCTGGTGAATAGTCCGTGCTGGGGCAGGGTCTTTTCAGGGCGGGGGAGGGCGAGATGACGGAAAGCCACTAGCAACCCGGGTCCAGACCCCGGGGCCTTCTCCCTCAACCCGGGTTGGATGGGCCTGGGCCTGGCTCCGGAGGGGGTTCGCGAGATGCTGAGCGCTTGGTCCTGTCCTTCTTGCCACAGTGGCATGAGCCGCGCCCTCCGCGCCGGGCTGGCCGGAGTCCGCCTGCCTCACACTCCGAGAGAAAGAGGACTCCAGGGCCGCCACGGTCGGCTGTTGAGTGACTGCACGAACACCTGCGAGCGAGGAGGCCTGCGAAGGGTGCGCTCATCAAGGTGGAACGCGGTGTGTGAGTGATCGCCCAGGTGCGGCTGGGCTGGGCTGGGGGGCTCTGGGCTCCCCTAGCCCAAGTTCCGAGCCTGAGACATCATCTCTCAGCCCTCCGTTCCCCAGTCTGTAAGCCCTGCCTGATAAAGACCCACCAACAGAGGAAACCCTCTGGCCTCCCCCAAATCCCCATCTGCCTCAAGACCAGTCATACGACAGAGTGCGAGCTAAAAGCATAAAGGCGAAAAGGGAACCTTTGCTGCAGAGGCGGGGGAACTGTGGGGCCAGCTTGAACAATGAAGAGGTTTCCAGTTTAATCTCCTCTCCAAAGTTAGAGGCTCTACGCTTCATTTAACAAAAGAAGCCAAATCTCTTCCACTGGATCCACCTTGGTCTCCTAGAGCCTGGGCCCTCAGGAGAGCTGACTGTTGTTATCATAGGTTGCTATGCAGGTTGGGGTGCAGTAGGGTTCCTACACCTACTTTTGCAGGCATCTAAATTCTTGATGTAGAAGCACTTGGTTGGGTGATCTTTGTAAGCTGGAAAATTCTTTCCACCCTAAGGGCACTGAGCTGGAAGTCTGGACCCCTCAAGCCCTGTTCCGGGTGTTTAGCCATAGAGGAGCTGGTCTGCCACGCAGTGGATGCGTCAGGGAAAGGGCCTGGGATTAGAGGAAAGGATCGGGTTTCTCAATCTTTTCAATCACAGCAACAAGGGGGAGGGGGAGGAAATAGTGCTGCTGGGCAGATGCTTCCCGGCTCCCCTTACCTTTCCCCAGCTGGATGGCCTATGAGTACCCCAATTTCCAGGGACAGCAAATCATTCTGGAGAAGGGTGACCATTCTTTCTGGAGCGCCTGGAATGACAGTGGTGGCCACCACAGCAGCGACCAGCTGCTCTCTTTCCAGTCTGTGTTCTGCCGGGTGAGAACAGCTCTCCCCCTCTTCTTCTCCCTCCTAACTCCTGGATCCAGGCCCTGGTCCCACCGTGCTGCCGCCAAAAGGACATCCACTGACTGGGGGTGCATAAACACATCTTTCTTAGATGGGTGGTAGTGGCATTACTTCCCAGAACTAGAGGGCTGTCCATAAGATTGGATTGTGGGCCTAAGCCAGACGTTGAAGATCAGCACCACGGACAGCGCTGAGTCCATGCAAGTCTTGAGAGCCATGGGGTTTCTCACATCCAGTTGTGGGCAAGAGTGAGAGAGTGCCTCTGTCATCACACAGCCCTATGAGGTCTGGGTGGCTGCTATTAGCCCCAGACACTAGTGTGGAAATGGGGATCAGATGAGACTTAGAACTCAATCCAGGAATCAAGGCTTAGAAAGGTCAGTGTGAGTGTGTGTGTGTGTGTGTGTGTGTGTGTGTGTGTGTGTGTGTGTGTGTGTGTGTGTGTGTGTGTGTGTGTGTGTGTGTGTGTGTGTGTTGTGGTGAAAGGGTTGATAATAAATCAAATATACTAAAGGGGAGGATCTCACTTCCTGTTTGTGCTGACTTAGGTACCCTGCTGGTGAGGCCAGGGCCTGGGAGGTGGAGGGCAGAGAGCAAGCTTCTCCATTCCAGGAGAGCAAGGAGCCTTTCAGGGGGAAGAACCTGGTACTGTGGAAGCCCAGACCAAACCAACACTGATGCCCTGGCCTATCTGTTCTGACTCGGCCATCCAACCCATTAGTTGGGCTGCCCAGGGTTCTGGGCAGGGGATTGGGTTAGTCAATGAGGCCCTTAGGGAAACTGTCTTCATTAATGGACCAGATTTCTCTCAAGACTTCTAATTTTCCTCATGAAAAACAGGTGAATGTCACAAGATACTTTCCAGCCCTGACCTGGAAAGGTCTCTGGGACACCCCCTTCAGTCTCACCACCTCAATCCAAAGCCATAGAAGAGACCAGACTGGGAATCTCTGACCACCCCAGCTTTTCAGGCTGCTAGGAAGCTAATGGAATAACTGCCAGGAGTGTTTGTGGAGCCTAATTATCTGCACAACCTGTGTTGGCAGTAAAGTGGGGGGAGTGATGCTGAGAATGTACCCATTAACACCTCTTTGGAGGGCTGACCCCTACTTTTCTGTGCCTCAGAACCACAGTGACAGCCCTGTGACACTATTTGAGGGGGACAACTTCCAGGGTTGTGGGTTTGAACACAGTGATGACTATCCATCCCTGCCCTCCATGGGTTGGGCCAGTAGGGATGTGGGTTCCCTTAAAGTCAGCTCTGAAGCGTGAGTCCTGGGACTGGAATAAGGGAGATGAGAAGAACAGAGAGGAGAGTGAGGAAAGGTAATGGGCATGCTAAGAGACATAGTAAGAGAGATGTTGGAGACTGGAGGACAGAGGGAAGAGAGGTGATGGGAGACTTGGAGGGAAGCAGAAGAAAGTGAAATGGTGGAGATTGTCTGGGAGGGAGGGGCAGGTCATAGGAGTCAGGGGAACAATATAGGGATGGGGAAAATATTAAAAACTTGGATGAGGAGGCAGTGGAGGGCAGGAATAGGGGACATGGTCAGGAAGGTGATAGGAAGATGTGGAACAGTGAGTAGGGCAGGAAGAGATCTATGTAGGAAAGCAATGGTGTTGGAGCTGAGGGTTGGGAACTGTGAAAGGAGGACTACTACGAATGGAGGACATTGATGGGGCAGGGGCAGAGCCTACTTACCACCCTTTTGCCCTCGCTGGTCTAGGTGGGTGGCCTACCAATACCCAGGCTACCAGGGTTACCAGTATGTATTGGAGCAGGACTAGCATGGCAGGGAGCTCCATACCTACAGTGAATTTGGCACACAGGTCCATACTGGGCAGCTGCAGTCCATTCGAAGAGTACAGCAATAGGCCATATGGCCCCAACACCTCTCCTGAGGATCCTCAATAAAGCCTCCTGAACCTGCCTGCCCTCTTGCCTCTTTTTTTGTGTCTTGCTTTGTGATTTCCATCCTGATCTTTCTGAGGGTCCTTCCCTGCCAACCTGACTCTCCCTTCAGGCTTCAGGACCTTTGATTATGGAGCATAACTGAATTAGTGTGTGGCTAGACTCATGGGGCTGAGAGGAAACTGCTGGGAAGAGTCTTGGGTATCCTGTTAACTACAACTAGTCCCACACCACTCCTTGGTGAAGGCCCATCAGCTTGGGATGGACACTGTGGCCACACGGCACTGTTGCCATCCCCTGGTTGGAGTGCACACAGCTCCACAGCAGGATTTAATGCTGCATTTCAGTCCTGGGACAGGCACCCATCATGCAGGGCAGGGCCTCTATGCAGGAGCTCTGTTGGGTTCAACTTTAACCCCTACGGCATTTCCAGTCTTTATTGTCACCTCCCTCGCTTTTTGGCTAGAGAAGCCTGCATCCTTTTCCCAGCCTTATAAAATCTCTGCCTTACAGAAAAGCAGGAGTGTGAGAGGAGGAATTAGTGGGAGGTTTCACTGTCTACCAGGACCTTCTAAGAGGGAGACTTCCTCTCTCTGAGCAGAGCCTCCAGACCCTTTGTCTGAATAATAACGATCCCTCACATTGTTTGAACTCCAGCATTTACAAAGCATTTTCATACCCCTCCTCTCTACTGTTCCAAACAACTCACTCTTCATTCTTCCTCTTCCTTCCCACTCTTAGAAGAACTGGTGAGCTGGAGAGGCAACCCCTCAGCCACTGACTACAGTGAGCCTGGGTTATGGAGCAGGTAGCAGAAGCCAACAGACATGGCAGGACTGAGTGTGGCAGCAGCCACCAGAGCCCCTGCCACCAATGTAGTTTCTTCCTAGTTTCCTGTTTTGTCCAGGTAATAACACCCTCAGTCCCACAGAGGCAGGACCTCCAAGGCTCTGGGGACTCCTCTCATCATGTCCCTCCCTCAGGAATGCTTGTGTTTTCCAGCCCGTAGTGGGCTTATCAATGCGGAGGGGTGGCTCAGATCATTGCCCCAACCGAGGGGAGGCAGGGTGATGTGGGAAAACAGTCAGACTTGGACCTGGCAGTCCCCGCGGGTCCAGCTGTGCAGTCAGGCATCTGCTCCCTGGGGAAGAGCCCTGAACTAGAAGTCAGAACACCAGAAGTCAGACCCAATCACATACCACCCCTGAGCTTCGATTCCCTCTTTTGTAAACTGGGGCTAGTGATCCCTGCCTTATCTGTGTCACAGGGATGTTTAGAGGATTCGTTGAGAACCCCCTGAAAATGCTTGTGGTGTTATGGAAAAGCACTGGGGCAGTCAATTAGGACCCTCCTTTCCTTCCCC